TTATGAGGTTGTTATGTGTTAAATAATAGATCAGTATGTATAGTCTTAGAAAAACCAACATTTTTTAGTTATTTTTATGAGGTTTTGTGGGTTAAATAATAGATCAGTATGTAAAGTCTTAGAAAAACCAACATTTTTTAGTTATTTTTATGAGGTTTTATGGGGTAAATAATAGATCAGTATGTATAGTCTTAGAAAAACCAACATTTTTTAGTTATTTTTATGAGGTTTAATGGGTTAAATAAGAGATCAGTATGTATAGTCTCAGAAAAACCAACATTTTCTAGTTATTTTTATGAGATTTTATGAGTTAAATAATAGATCAGTATGTAAAGTCTTAGAAAAACCAACATTTTTTAGTCATTTTTATGAGGTTTATGGGTTAAATAATAGATCAGTATGTAAAGTCTTAGAAAAACCAACATTTTTTAGTCATTTTTATGAGGTTTATGAGTTAAATAATAGATCAGTATGTAAAGTCTCAGAAAAACCAACATTTTTTAGTAATTTTTATGAGGTTTTATGGGTTAAATAATAGATCAGTATGTAAAGTCTTAGAAAAACCAACATTTTTTAGTTATTTTTATGAGGTTTTATGTGTTAAATAATAGATCAGTATGTAAAGTCTAAGATAAACCCCATATTTTTTAGTTATTTTAATAAGTTTTTTTGGGTTAAATAATAGATCAGTATGTAAAGTCTCAGAAAAACCAACATTTTCTAGTTATTTTTATGAGGTTTTATGTGTTGAATAATAGATCAGTATGTAAAGTCTCAGAAAAACCAACATTTTCTAGTTATTTTTATGAGGTTTTATGGGTTAAATAATAGATCAGTATGTAAAGTCTTAGAAAAACCAACATTTTTTAGTTATTTTTATGAGGTTTTATAGGTTGAATAATAGATCAGTATGTAAAGTCTTAGAAAAACCAACATTGTTTTAGTTATTCTTATGAGGTTTTATAGGTTGAATAATAGATCAGTATGTAAAGTCTTAGAAAAACCAACATTGTTTTAGTTATTCTTATGAGGTTTTATGGGTTGAATAATAGATCAGTATGTAAAGTCTTAGAAAAACCAACATTGTTTTAGTTATTCTTATGAGGTTTTATAGGTTGAATAATAGATCAGTATGTAAAGTCTTAGAAAAACCAACATTTTTTAGTTATTTTTATGAGGTGTTATGTGTTGAATAATAGATCAGTATGTAAAGTCTTAGAAAAACCAACATTTTTTAGTTATTTTTATGAGGTGTTATGTGTTGAATAATAGATCAGTATGTAAAGTTATTTTCATATGGATATGGATTAAGAAAAGGTTCAAAATGATTCTAAGATTGTTTTGGTTATCATATGATACCATTCGGATTAAAACAAAACATTATATAAGTCTAAAAAGAGTCAATTAGATTGGAGTTTTGCGTGCTACCTTTCTGCTCCAGATTTTGCAATGTAAGGGAATTTTGTTAGGTCCCTGGTTTGGTTAATGTTTTTCGATTTTCAGGACAACTTTGGTGTAATGAAACTAATTCTGACCCGTGTAAAATAAAGAATCTATGTTTGTCTCATTGGACTGTATGTTAGACAAGGCCATGTCACATTGATGAAATAGGCCTATTTCTGACCCATGTAAAATAAAGAGTCGATTATTATGATTATTATTAATGAATTACAGATTAATAATTAAGTTGATATTGGCCGCCTATTACCCTTTATAACTTCACGCTAAACTACTCAAATCTTACATCTCCATCAATAACATGACATAACAGTGATATTGGAGACAAGCCAGGTGCCACATGTTCATGCTATCAATAAGGGATGATCATACTTAGTCTATTAGTAATAAGCACTTCATATTGTTGTCTGTTGATTAAATGAAAATTCGCGGCCCTTCATCCTACGCGTTAGCTTTCTGACGTAAGTGAACTTCTCCTTGTTGATTTCATGGAATTCTTCTTAAAGGGATTGTCTTTATCAACTTTTTATGTGAGATATTTGATAGCATCAATTTTCACCATTCCAATTTTCATTCAGACGTCATTGGCTCCTGCAATTCCAATAGAATTGATCGTTTGATGACGTCAATAATCGCAAAATATGCTTTATCACAATAGGCCCTTTGTTATTAGTTACATCAGACACATGGTTTTAGTGGAATTGCAGGAGCCAAAGACTGAGAATTGTAACGGTGCAAATTGATGCTACCAGAGTTCCAAATACACATACAATATTTAGAAAACCTCATTACAATCCCTTTAAAGGGATACGAGTGTGATTGGGTTTGAAAGCAGGCACATGATCGTCTTTCGCAAGCATTGACTGTAGACTCAGAATGTTTCTTACCTTGAGGGGGATTCGAACCCACAGTACTTAATCATTAGAGCTAGCAGAGCTATTCCATCGCCACATAAGTCGGTGTTCTCAATAGAATTTAAGAATTTGATATTGAAATTCTTATTGCAATGATGTTCTGAAAACAATACAGCCGCCATCATGTTAACCACAAATGGGTCCAAGGCATCAATTCAATGCTTTATTTAATGACCCATCAGGCGTACCATTATTGTGGTCAAACAGTGGAACTGTTATTTTAAATCAACAATAGTAATCAAAGACTTGATAATTGGTGAAAGTCATAAAAATATATTATTACCCAGTGGTATCAGGTGTTCCGTTGATTAGTTAGATTAATATTTTACACGCTGTAAACATGTTCTGAGTATTAATGAATTTATAAGTCTTCGATTGGAGCTTATATTATGACTAAGTGAAAATCTGATCAATATTTTAGCTTGGATTCCATATTTCCACGTAACTATTACTACTAAGGCTTACGGGAACGGTCTGTGGAGGACGGACTGTAACACATTTAGGTTAGAGCGTTGACCTTTTTTGTTTGCCAATGTCGAGCGTAATTTGATATGATGGTCATGGACACTTAAGTTTGGTCTACATAAAGACTCAAAACAGGAAAGATCAATGTCATAAGAATCTTGGCTCAGAATCAGCGAGTAAATGACGACTGTGACGCAATTGATTAAAGGATTGATATCCTGAGTAATTTGGTGTATGAACACATTTTGATGAAGTATTTATATTGTTCATTTGTTACATTATATTTGACGAAATTTTCAGCAAAATATATTACATAACTTAAAATAGATCGATCGTGATCACTGACAATTACGAAAGACAAAGAGGTATGATTGTGTTAATTTAAATGATTTAAAACTCCACGAAATAAATTGATTTGTAGTGTCACTCATATGACTCTTATGATACGGGGTAGGGTTGCCAAAAATAAGGCTTGCACGGCTTGAATGGAAATTTCTGTTGCTTCCGCTCGGCCTTCCACCTCGTTATTCATACAATTGACTCGACCTTCATGGCCTTGACATTACTGGTTGAATCAGTTGATATCATTATCAACTATAATGGGGAAATGGGTCAGAACGTTATGACATTTAAAGCTGCTATCCCAAATTTATTTGCTGATTCAACTTTTGGAATCAAAATGTCTTTCATATGGTAGACAATGTGTAAAATTGCAAGAAATTGTAAATATTTGCATCATATAGAAAATACAGCAACTTTCGAAACAATTGAATGAACACAAATTTAAAGTGTCTGATTATTCGAGTCTAGTTTGCTTTTTCGCAAAACTTATAATTATCAAGACATTAAAACCGTGGAGTTTGAATTTAATTGGTCAAATGAATTCATCATTCATTGCTCAACGCAATCAAATCAAACAAATGATAACAACGCTCTTGCCGATTGTGCTACACATCGTCCTACATATATAGGTCTCCTATTATATTTGGGATATCCTTTAACAAAATTAGGTTATTGTATAACAATATATCATTTTACTTTGTGATATTGCCGAGGTGAAACATATTTTATAACGGATTGAAAGGTAGGTCTTAAACATTAAACTAATATAAAAGAAGCTGTGTGTAGCTCTGATATATTCATTCTAATGTATCGCAGTGTGCAATGCGTGACATTACGTCAGGGGGCGGCATTCTCATATCGAAATGAATTAGAATTTTACGTCATACTTTTCAGCACCTCTTTTTGAGTTATTGAGGACGATAAAGCGCAAGTTAATGCAAAATCTCACCTCATTACACACACAGTGTCGTGTGCAGTTAAACGTTCTTCGTAGCTCAACCTCGGATATGTTAGACGTTTAAACTTTCATTATGAATACTAAGTGGATGACAAAAAAAAACACTAATTGTTGACGAGCTTCTAAAAATTTAAATGAGACCTTGAATGAATTCTTATTCCCGAATGAATGTTGCTGGTGATAGTGTAATTAAATCAGTTTAAGACATTGCCAAATCCAGGAGTAGACTGAGCATCTAGGGCCGTGGAACTAATGGGCCTTCTAGTCCCCCACGCCCGAACCCCAATGTCAAACTGATCGTTCATTTTTCATTTTTCGTAGTCTGGTCCATTCTACTTTGCCATGATAATTTCAACAAATTGCGTGTATCTATTCCAGTGCTGAACTGTATATGTGAACATGGCTGACTTAAAACTTCCGATAATAAACCTCGCTAAAGCAGCGGATCTAAGCCAACGTCAAGAAGTGGCTAAAACCTTATGTGATGCAGCAGCAAATATTGGATTTTTCTATGTTGAAAATGTGAAAGGTTATAAGGAAGATGAACTTGCAAGATGGTGTCAATGGATTTTTGACCAACCGAAATCAGTAACTTCAAAATTGTGCCGAAAGATTTGGAATCCCGAAAACGATAATGTGTATCGCGGATTTTTCCCAACCGTTGAAAATGATTCTTCATTTAAAGAAGCTTTTGAAATTGGTTATGAATCCAGAATTCCGCTAAATAACGAAAATAATCCTTGGTTTAACGAAGGGAATGTCTGGCCTCTCTGTGAGGGATCTGACGAGTTTAAGATATTCGCAACAGCTCACTTCGACCTAATGGTCGAGGTTTGTCTGGAACTTTGTCGTTTATTTTGTCTGGGTAGTGGTTTGGAAGAAAATTCTTTGGAATATGCTTTTGTGCCAGGAGCTGTGTCTACGTTAAGGTTTCTACATTACCCCATACGACATGGACCTGTACCGGAAGTGGCTTTTGAAGGTGAAACGGCTGTGTGTACATGCGGATACTAGCTTCTTCACCATCCTCGCAACGCTGGGGTACTCCGGCTTACAGCTGAAAGACGACTCAGGAAAATTCATTGACGTCCCGAATCGAAAAAACGCCTTTGTCGTGAATATTGGTGACGTCATGTCCATGATGACGGGAGGATATTTCAAGGCCACGAGACATAGAGTTCTCGCCCCTGTCGCATCACGATATACAGTGCCATTCTTCCTGGAACCCCGACCTAACGTAGACATTGGAACCCCAATTCCTGGTTTTAAACAGAATACAGAATCTGTAACCTACGGGTACTGGATGGTTGGGAAAATTAAACAATTTGCTGAATATAAGCATTTGTTCCCACCAGAAAATTAATTTTTTTAGGTTTTTTAAATTTTACTGTTATCCTCATTTTCATTTCCCTATGGCGAGGTGGTAAATGTAAACACATATCCGCAATTGAAACTTAAGCACTGAAAATATTTCAATAAAATTTACAATTTTAAAATATTGTGTTTTATAATAAACATACAAAACTGGTAAACAAATAGCTTTTGTGAAAGCTACCTTATTATCAAGACCCACAGGCATCTGATAGAGATTCAAATGGTGCAAGTCGATGCTTTCATATACCCCTATACATATATACAAAAAGCCAGGAAACATCTTTCCAATACCTTTAAAGTCGACCAATCTAATGTTGTTACATTGAATACGTTTCGCGAAATTCTTCGCTCCGAAAATTTAAATTTATCCCGAGAGTATACGATTTAATGAACCAAAATCTCGAGGTACATAAATATCACATGACATGTCTCGTTAAGTTTCCTTTAGATCTTTCTGGACCATGTCTGGGTTGTGTCAACTCAAATAGCCAGTCAAGACGATTCTGGAAAATCGTAGATCTTCTTTAAAGTCCGATAAATTTGAAAATCAAACTAGCGTTGAAATTTCATTAGATTTTGTATAGACAGATCCTTCAAACTACAGTTTATTCGATCCATATATATTATCTGTTAAATACATACATGAAACCTTTTCCGTGATTTCTACACTCTTCAATGAAGTAGCATTTCACATTAGATAGAAAGAAATAAGGCTTATCCGTCTTTGACTCACTTTATTTTTTTTTCATTTGATATAGAATTGCCAATTCCGTGGCCCTAATTCGCTGCCCATTCCCCTCTCGTGACTCCTTGAAATACCTGCAATCGATTGAAAGTTTTCGCTAATCACCCTACTGACTCTCCAAAAGGGATTCTGATTTCAAAGTGCCGGAGCCAGAAAAATGCGCGGTTATACGATGGCTTAGGACGTCCTCACGAATGGCTCGATTTATATACGATTAGACGTGTGACGTGGCCTTTATGGCTACCATTTCTATTTGTTTATAAAGTGTAAAAACATAGTTATTGTGACAGTAAAATGAAATTGGAATAAGTGGAATGTGTATGTGTAATTTTCGTTTCTGTAATAGGAAGTAAAGCTCCATTAAATGAGTTATTAGACTAACTACGAGGTAAAATGTTCGAGACAATATAGTCAATATAAGTTAATAGAAACTAGTGAAAAGTCAGTTAAAAGCTAGATCCAAGATCAACAGTAAGAAATGAGAAAGTCTGAAAACATGGTCTTAAATTGTTAACAAATGGCTTAACTCTATTCTCAGATTAAGTCTTCTATTTGGCTAGAGTCACGGCTAACATTTACTCTGTGAGTTGATCAATGCTGCCAATAGATTCCTGGCTTTTATTTTCTGCTAAGCTGAACAATGCCTTTCACTTCCATAGTCTAAATTAAATCAGTGTAAAGGGTAGGCCGACCCTATTATTACCACAGCACACGACAAGTGTCAAGGAGAAAGAGTTCAATTTAATCCTTCAATACAAATCTTGATTATAGTTTATCAATTCATCTCGTACATTTTATTGAAAAGAAAAATAGAACCATATTTAGGTTCACGTGGATACCGTCTATCAGCTGGTCCTTGGCATTAACTTTTTCCGTGTTATCCAAACCATTTCACAGCTGGGTCGACTAGGAATAATGAGGAAAGATGAATTATTCAAGGTCAACAAAATGTTAACCTTTATTGTTTTCTTTCATCTGCAAACCAAAGTAGACATGTATAGACATGGTTCGTTGTCTGTTTTTTTGTAAATTTTCAGTGAATTTATTACTGTTATTGAACGACTCAGTACAGCAAAATTACAATTAAATGCTCTTGTGGTAACTTGTACGCTTATCAATGATGTAATCCGATCTACGTCTCAAATCTCTAGTCACTTCCGGTGTTACATTTCCGGTATCGAGTGCCATCTGTCGGTATAATAATAGCTTAATCATACGACAGTGATATAGGAACATGGAATAGGATGTCACTATAATAACAATATTTAACTTTAATAAAAGAGTTGGTCGCCATGTCGTATGTATTATTAGTTTAGCCATTAATAGCGTAATTGTCTACATCTTTTTGTATTCACAACAGTCCATCAATCGCTGGGGGCATCCTGAAACAATCCCATAACAAGTTTAGCCAACTAGTTGTAGCTAATTATTAAAGGTATTGTAAAAAGGTTTCTAAACTGTTTTGTGTGAAAGGGCCACTGAAATATGAAATAATTAGACGACTGTGGTCCTTGCAATTCCAGTAAAACTATGCCTTTTGTGACGCCATTGTAATGTCTTATATCAGAACTAGTCATTCAAGCCTAATCCAGAATCATATGAAAACGTAAGTTTGTTTTAGGGACAGCTTCGCCGCCTGTTTGACCAATCACACCTTAGTCTCAGAAACGGGGATTCATGTGTGTCGAGAATTATTCGTGTTTGAAAGTAAAAATGACGACTCGTCTATTCTTGAGCCATATAGAGAAAAGACATATAAAGAAATAGAAAATTTAATTCATATTTAGGAGATTTTAAAGGAATTGTGCAATTTTCGTACATTTCTGATACTTCTGAAGACTATTTAAACATACATGTATTTAAGATTAACCTTCGAAAATGACGTACCTCTCACTTTAAGGTCTCAAATTTGTCTCCATCTGAGAAGTTTTGTGGTGTAAAATAATCATCTTCTCTTACCTTATGCAGAACAATAAGTCGCAAAATTTCATTAATTTATTATATAATACCATAAGATTATTACCGGTATGTACTTCCGACATATTTTAATTATGCATTATTAATTATTCTTAATGATCTAAGAAAGCAATAATCTCATAATTTATCTAAATGAAGTCACCAGGTGTTTCTAAATAGGTCTGATTTACACAATTTTATACAATGATAGATACAGAGTAATTATTAAAGTTGAACTGCCAATATCCAACTCGTCAATCTAATCAGGTAAAATTATAAAATCTGACATGTAAAGGAAAATTGCCTACAGGGTGTATTTGACCGTCACTCATGTTGAAAAATATTATTAAGTTCTTCAAATAATCAATACAAAACTGGCATGTTTTATATTAAGGAAACAAGACTTGTTTGTCCTTAAAACCATAAAAACGATGGAAACCCAACTAGATAAGACATAGAGACTACATACGGAAAAGAAAACACATCCATATTTGAAATAATAAATTCTGTTCAGCGGGTACAGCAAGAATCAATACAAACATATATGTTTGATAAAAAAAAATACTAAAGAAATGTAATTAATTGAAAGGAATACTCCAAGAATTTATTATCTTTAAATCAAGATAAGATAGGCTATAAAAATACTGAAATATCATTTGGTCCCGAAATTGTAAATATTTTAATCGTGTTTGATATTGATCTTAAAGGGATTGTAAAGAGGTTTTCTTAACTTTTTATGTGTATCAGGACCATGTATGATTTATATTTGCATCATTCCAATTGTCCGTTAACACGCTCATGGTTGTTTAAATGTGAAAACTGCTTAACCGTTAATGACGTCCGAAAAGCTGCTCATAATATATAAGGGCCTTAATGATAGCTACGTAGACATACGTTTACTTTAAGTGGAAATGCAAGAATATCAGACGTCTGATTGAAAATTGGAATGGTGCAAATCGATGCTATCAGTATCTCTCCTGCATATTAAAAATCAAAAAGAAAACTTTTTACAATCCCTTTAAATTAACTGATTAATATTTGATCATAAAAATTACAGGAATGAATTTACCAAAGATCAAAGTAATGATTATTGAATCTAGCAACTGGTCGATAAGCCGGAAATGATATGTAAATGTTAGAATTACCGGTCAGCTTAATGATGTTGACATTTGATTAGCCAATAGGAAGTCACGATCTCTCATATTGACCAATCAACACACTCGTCATCACGTTTTAAATTGAATTGTAAATGTAACATGTTTGGTGATAATTGGATGGCGATACATACAAAGACATTACGGGTATCTGTGAATGGTTAATAGGAAGTCACTGTCATGTATGGTGGCAACATTAACACGCTCGTCAACACGTTTTCACTTCATTGTTAATGTTACATTTTTTTTACTCGTTTACAAATTAACTACGAGTTCTGTAAAAAAAAATCTGATGAAAATGACAGTATGCGGCATTCTTCTCAATAAAGTCGTTTATACCTGAAACCTGATATCTTAAATATGCTTTAAAATACTGTTTACTTTTATATCTTTAGTTGAAACCTTCAAAATAAGTAATAGATATAAAGTTTCCACTGTTTGATGCTTATTTTACTTAAATCGGCACATAAGTCCCCCCCCCCCCCTTAAAAAAGTTGTAAACATAGCGATATTATTAGTTAGAACTTTCAGATTTTTAGTTTATAGTTTCATTTTCAAGCACCAAACGTTTCCAACCTACTAATCCAACAAACTTCCCCTTTAAGAAGAGTTTGGCATTCGATGTAAATAAAGTGTTTATCTACCGATACCTATTAACTGGTAAATTGATCATCTGTTTACAGTATTTCACTGCAAATTAACAGTTTCATTACATATCTGTCATAGTTTACATTCTTTTTATCTGGCTTGTTTGTCAAACTGGAATCAACAGTTTGTGTTTTATG